ATCATCTGTCCACACCTGAGCCGGTGGTTAAAACTAAAACTCAAACATACGATAAACAAACATCACACCTACCAAAATTCGCAACAGACAAACAGAACTACACACACATGTTTTCCCCAAATATGCCGTCTGGGATGGTCGGCAGAGCTGTAGGCTGGAATCATGTGATGCCTTTTACGGCATTGATGTGCGAATTTTCACAACAGAACAACCAGAGAGGGAGGATCCCGTTTGACTGGCCATACACAGGCACTTTTGATATGAGTGTGCTGCGACAGGCTTCTCAGATTATTGATGATGATCCTAACCCAGCTTGGGACAAAGGGTACATGAGAAAAAGCGTGAAAGCGTGGATGTCTGTGGGAAAAAGGAGTGAAAGTGAAGGTGGATGTGAATGGGGCTCTAGTGAACTCAGAAGACTGCTTGATAATGTTTCCAAATGTGTTGCAGGTTGTCACTTACTCAGTTTACAAACCGCTTTTGACATCAGAGCAGATATCATGTCCAGAATAAAAGAGAGACATGGCAACGATGTAGCGGCCGTAGCTAAAGCTATAATGTCAGACTGGGTTAGGCGCCAAGGAAAAGAGCCCCTCCCGTCCCAAGTGATTAGCATCTTGACAGACGCAGGGGTCCAACTAACACAGAGCATTATCAAGGAGCACACTGTAACTCTCTGCCCCAAAGTAATCCCCACCACAGAGACAAAAGAAATAAATCATATTGCCAGAAACTCAGATAACGACTTGTTGGAGGCAGTTGCAGCTATCATAAACATCAGACAGATAGAAGTGAAGAGGGAAAGGGAGCAAGAAATACATGACGCACACACAGAGCGAAACGCAGGTTTACAGGAAAGGGCAGATTACAGGGGCGGAGGTGAGGCTTCTGGTTATTCAGGTGGCCAGTCTTCAGCAGAGACAGGGACATTTCCAGAGCAAAGCCCCCCTCCCCCTTCTTCTTCTTCTCCTCCTCCCCCTCCTCCTTCTCCTCCCCCTCCTCCTCCGCTCAGTTTAGAGCACACACCGCGCAAATTCACAGCTGAGGAGATAGCGGCACTCAGGGGAAAAATGATCACAAGAAAGGCGTCGCATGCTGCGCAAGAGAAAGAGGCACATAATGCAGCGCAGGAAGCACAACAAGCCGCAGCCGCCAGTGAAACACACAATGCCCCGAAAATCCTGATAGGAGAAGTCCCGGTATTTAAACCATGGACTCCCTCAGAGGTTATCGATGTCACAAGACACGCGCCCAACCCCACTAAAAGCCCAGATGAATATCTGTCATGGCTGACTAATGTGTGTATGGTCTATAACTGTTTGGTGCATGATGTTAAACAGCTGATCGTCCTCACATACAAAGCCGAATGGCCAACATGCAAAGACGAGTTTAAATTTCCAGTGTGCACAAACGCAGGAGATTGGCCTGTAACACAGTCCCTCACTCAGTGGCTAGAAACTGACGGAGCTAGGGCTATCAAAGCTTGTGCTAAAACTCACACTGACTTTTCCCAAGTGATGGCTTGCATCCAGAGCCCTACAGAAACAGTGCCAGACTTTATCCAGAGATTCATAACGGTGTGGGACAACAATGCAGGCATTAAAAGAGAGATCAATGATTTGTTTGCAGTACAGAGCTTATTGCATAACCTTATCCCGGAGACAGCTCAAGCTTACATGTTAGCCACCCCCGATTGGCAGATGAAAACCTGGAAAGTTACTATTGCCACCATGCGGGCCCTACACAGAAGCCAGATTTTTCTGATTCCCCGAACGGCCCAGGTGCTGCAACAGGGAAGCACACAGGCTTATCAAGGTCAGAGTAACTACCAGCAGACTCAGGGACAAAACAGCACACCACAGTATCAGAACCAAGGACAGTCACAAGGTTATCAAAACAAGAACAGGCAGCAGCAAAACAAAAACCAAAAAAAACAAATGCACTGCCACGTATGCGGCAGCACTGAGCACTGGGCAGGGAAATGTCCTAAGAGGTGGGGGGCACAGCAGCACACACACAATTTGCCTGCCAGCTTATGGGCGAAACACAAGAACCATGTGGGGTTTGTAAAGTCTGCACCCCCTCACAGAGTGACACTTAAAGCCAATGCCAGATTGCCAGCGATCAGACAGTACAACTTACCCCAAAAAGCCATTTTGGCCATTACAGGGGTAATAGAGTCGCTACTCGCTCAGGGGGTCCTGGTTTACACCTCCAGCCCCTGCAATACACCAATTTTGCCAATCCCAAAGCACAATCGCCCTGATGAGTGGCGTTTTGTCCAAGATTTGCAAGCTATTAATGCCATTGTCATTCCCACAGCACCCATTGTGCCTGACACCAATTCAATCCTTGCTTCTTTGCCTCCAGACAGCACATACTACACAGTCATTGATCTTTGTTCAGCATTTTTCTCTATACCTTTGCATCCAGAAAGCCAGTATCTGTTTGCGTTCACTTTCAAAGGTAAACAGATCACATACACATGCCTCCCGCAGGGGTTTGTTGAATCACCCACTGTGTACGCCGCAGCTGTTAAAAGAGACCTGGACACTTTGGTCCTTACAGGGGGTAGCACCCTCCTTCAGTATGCTGATGACCTGTTGATAGCATCCCCTAACAAAGACGCCTGTCGCATCGACTTCATTCTGCTCATGAAAAGACTTTCTGAATGCGGACACAGAGCATCCCTGGCCAAGTTGCAATACTGCCAGACTGAGGTCACGTATTTGGGTCACATTCTGAGAGATGGACACCGCCTCCTCTCACCTGCGAGAGTCTGCCTTTTGAACAAAGTGCCACCACCGCGCACAAAGAAGGAGATGCTTTCCTTCTTGGGCATGGCAAACTACTGCAGACATTGGATATACGAGTACGCTGCTATGGACTCCGTCCTGCGTGCTGCCACTCTGCAGGCCGCCCCGAACATTGTTCACTGGTCTGAGGACATGCACACAGCTTTTCAGGACTTAAAGCAGGCCCTCACATCGGCTCCGGCCCTGGGTCTCCCTGATTACCATCAACCTTTTCATCTACACGTCCATGAAAGGGGGGGCTTTGCAACGGGCATCTTGGTACAGAAGCATGGCTCTAATTTTCGGCCTGTGGCGTATTATTCGTCTCGACTTTCCCCTGTGGTACTTGGTATGCCTTCATGCCTGCGAGCAGTGGCCGCAGTTGCAATGGTTATCAAGCAATTCTCTCCCATTGTACTGGCCAGTGACTGTGTAGTACATGTCCCACATGCAGTTTTGCATATTCTGAACACCTCTGCTACTCAGCATATGACAGCAGCAAGGCGCTCTGGTTATGAGGCGGTCATTCTTTCAAGCCCGCACATCACTCTCAGGCGCTCCCCTCCTCTGAACCCTGCCACACTGGTCCCAATACCAGACTTTGATCTAACACATGACTGCATCACAACCATTGATCTGTCTTCTTCGCCCAGAACTGATATGTTGCAAACTCCAATCCCAAATTCAGATATGATTCTGTACACAGACGGGTCTGCCTGCAGACCGTCTGACACATTACGCTTAGCTGGCTATGCTGTTGTGAACGACTGGGAAGTCTTAGAAAGCCGAGCGTTGCCCAATGGCACGTCGGCTCAGGCGGCAGAGTTGTATGCTCTACTTAGAGCGTGCATTTTGGCTAAAGATAAAGTTGCGACCATTTTCACAGACTCCAGGTATGCTTTCGGGGTATGCCACGATTTTGGAGTCCTGTGGAAAATGCGCGGTTTCTTAACATCGGCTGGTAAGCCTATTCAACATCATGCGTTAGTGGCTCAACTGTTAGACGCTATCTTGCTCCCTGCACAGCTAGCAGTAGTTAAATGTGCTGCTCACACAAATTCTGATGATCCTATTGCACGCGGAAATGCGTTAGCCGACACGGCGGCTAAACAAGCGGCCATTTCCTCTTCCTCCATGGTGCTCCAATGTCCCTCCACACAACCTGCAGAACCCATTTGTTTGCCTTCCTTTAATGATGTCGCGGACATGCAAGCCCGCGCTGATGCTAGGGAGAAAGACTTATGGCTGCGCAGAAGTTGTACACTTGACGCAGAGTCCCGCTTGTGGCTCCACCCAGATGGCAGAATGGTCTGCCCCCGCTCGTTCCTCCATGTTTTGGCACATGTTGCTCATGGCTCTACACATGTAGGAAAAGGAGGGATGAATGGGATTATACAATCACAATGGTTTGCCCCAGGCATCACACTAGCGACACAGGCCCTAGTAGATAGATGCATGACATGCCAGCAGACAAGAAAGAAAAGTGGCCCAGTCCAACACGAACACTTGGTACCCCCGTCGGGGCCCTTTGTAAATATGCAAATCGACTTCTCACACATGCCACCATGCCAAGGTTGCAAGTATCTCTTGGTAATAGTGTGCCAGTTCTCCAAATGGGTAGAGGCCTACCCAACCAGAAAAGAAGACGCTAGAACAGTTGTAAAGTGTCTTCTCAAAGATGTTATCCCTAGATTTGGTGTTCCAGCAGGGATTAACAGTGACAGAGGTCCAGCATTCGTCTCTAAGATAACCCAGAGTCTAGCTACAGTGTTAGGGTTCAGATGGCAGTTGCATGTTCCCTATCACCCACAGAGCTCAGGCCAGGTTGAGAGAATGCACTTGACCATAAAGGAGAAACTCACCAAGACAATGTTGACCACAGGATTGAAATGGGTAGATGCACTACCACTAGTCCTGTGTTCCATCAGAAACACACCGAATGCTACGACAGGGCTTAGCCCCCACGAAGTATTGATGGGAAGGGTAATGTCCACAGGGTCCAGTCCCCCAGTGACACCCCATAAGCTTACTCTGTTATGGACAGATGATTACATGACTAACTATGTAAAATATTTGACCGACATGTTGAGAAAGTTTCACAGACAGGTGGTTGACAGGCTCCCTCAACCTGGAGAGGAGCCAACCCACCCTTTTGAGATTGGTGATAATGTGCTAATCAAGTCTCTTGAAAAAGATGGTCTGTCTCCCAGGTGGAAAGGTCCTTTCCAGGTGTTAATAGTGACCAGAACAGCCCTAAAGGTCCAAGGCAGGACAGAGTGGATCCACGCTTCTCGATGCCGCCTGTCTCCTCCGCCGATCAGAGGGGAGGGTCAGGGTGCTGGCGTGTGATGAATGTCCTCATATTCCTTGGTCTGGGTCTACTATACCTGGCCAAGGAAACCCCGCCAGATGAGGCGGAACCAATCCCGATGACAGGTGGCGAGGGCTCTCGCCCCTCAGAAGGTGAATATAAGGTGCTCTTATCCAAGGGCGCAGGCAGTTTGGCTATTCAGGGCCCAGACCCTGAAGGCCAAACCACATCAACGGGCACACCATTGCCTAGCAACAAAATCAGGTTGTTTCCCACCATCACACAAACATTTAGAAAAAGAGGGAGAAAAAAGAGGAAAGTGGGCCCCGAGATAAGGCTACTCCCTCTCCCTGCTCTTGACATTCCCAAAACAGAATTACAGAATATTTCCTTTGAATGTCCGACTACACACTGTAACTCACATGACTGTGTTGTTGTGTTTCCTGTGTTTTCAAGCAAAGGCTTATGGGCGTGGAACGTCTATCCAGAGACGGGGTACCAGCGGTTCCAGGTCTCGCAGCGGATGGTAAGAATAACACTCAACACCATTGCAAATGTACCCCCAGAAATGTGGTGTTTCACTAAAGAACAGTTAAAGAATGATCCTATGTGTACCACATGGACACCCAATTACAGAGATCCCAGTACAGGGGTCACTAGATGCTCAAATATGGAACCAGGTGCAGCTGTAATTAAGTCACCAGGAAGTGATGTAGATTCTTTAAAGAGTGCCCATATCACTCCACCTAAACAAACTAAAACCCATTCTAATTCTGCAATAAATTTAATGATAGATTATGCACATGAACGCAATGTTAGCAACTGTTGGCTGTGCCAAAATATGCCAGAGTCCATGCACTCTCCCATGTTCAGCCCAATTCCTTTCACAAAACCTGACTACAGTTTAGTTAGCTGGAATGATATAGCATCCCGAATTAGCGATGAGACCGATGATTGTTACATCCCTTCTTACCCCATAGACTCCAAGCAACCTTTAAGGTACAAGGGCTTAATCTCGCTCATTGTTGACACAATAAATAAGGATTACCTAGACGGTTTCAAGCGAGTAATGGTCCTAAAAATTATATATGTGAAGAAGTACTTAAACCTAGTTTTTGAATACAGATTCCAATTAGCTCTAGTCCAGACTAATTGTTCAATTAACTATACGGGACCAACATGTTCACCTCAACCACACACACCATCTTTGTTGGTTGAAGCCTTAGTAACAGTGGTACCCTGGTTTGGGTCCCGAACAGTGGACTCAATTAAAGTTAAAATACATGACTGCTCGCTGCCATTACCCCTAGGTAAGTCCCCTACACGTGACTGTTCAGTTTATATTCCCCCAGTTGTGGCGCATGAGTGGAAGAATGTGTCTATCTGCTTTCAGAACGGAGGAGGGTTTCTACCCTCTCACGATGTGGGCCACAGCGACTGTAACACCGTAATAAAGGTCAAACTAACCAGTACTCCCCTCCCAGAGAGAGTTTACTTGGTCTGTGGAGACAGAGCCTACAGTTGCATGCCTTATGACACTTTTGATGGCACCTGTTATCTAGCCTATCTAATCCCTTTGATCCGTAAAGTAGAGACTGATGAGATTGCAGCAATACTCCCCTCCCTACACAGAAATCGTAGGACCATCACAACAGGTCAGCAGCTGGCTAGCGCTGTCCTGCCCTGGTACGGCATTTATGTTTCCCAGCAGGAAATCATAGCTCTCTCCAAAATAGTGGAAAACCACCTCAATGTATCCAACAGAGCCATGTTGGCTGAACACAAAGAACTGCAGGAAGTTAGAACAGTGGCATTACAGAATTGCATGGCACTGGATCTTCTGCTAGCAGCACAGGGAGGCACGTGCAAGGTGATTGGCTTTGAGTGTTGTTCTTTCATCTCTGATGCTAAACCTGAGGTCATGGATATGGCTCATGATACTGCTAGGGGAATAAAATAATTGCACGAAACTCATGGGTTTGCATTTGGGGATTTATCTGGAATATTTGGGTCATGGGGAGCGGGATTGGGTAAACTTGCCATTACCATTTCACTGTTTATCTTAGCTGTACTAATCCTGATAATGTGCCTAGTCACTGTTGTTAAACTAGTCATGCAAAAGGTTGTCAAAACCGCCCTCCAGGCCCCACAGACACTGGTGGGGTACGACACCGTGATGATGTACGACGTCGAGCTTCCCGACCCGTGGGTCTCTACCGTGGCACCCGAACCATGGGTTCCCCCTTACAATGAATGGCCAATGAATTAAAACTGATTAAAGTTGATTTTTTCCTTTTCAGGTTGTTACACTACACAATACATGTCTGACTTTTCCTTTTCAGATTTTGAATGTATTGATATTACTAAAATTAAGTGCCTGACTCTTAAGATAATCCTAAAATTGAGGACACTGCAATTTTGCAGATCACAGATTGATCAAATCACCATTGTGAATTCTATACTCTAACTGTGAATTTTTAGCAGGGTCTCTTACGATCCTGAGTTTTATTATGCTTTTGACTAGTGATTGCCTTGAAGTAAATCTTTAAAGCGGCAAGCTGGTTTTGATTTTATAGTTTGATGAATGAAATTAACTAATGGTAAATGATAAAAAAATATGAGTTTAAAACAAATATTTAGCCATCGTGCACCTGTGTTTTATGTGTGTTCATTATTATGCTTTTGACAAAAGATGATCAAACCACTGATGAGAGATGATTTTTCCTATTATGATTGGCTGTATCAATCATTGTGATTGAATGTTTCAATCTTATTCCACTTTGTGATATAATTGATGTAAGGTGAGACCACACTCGAACCTGGAGACGCCTATTGAGTTAATTATTGACCAAATTATTATTAGACTAATGTTTTTAGGTTATCATAAATGATCAAAAGTAAGGACTGTTATGGAAATAATTATCATAAGACGCCAATTAGTAACATACAGGACAAACCTCGATGTCTGTTTACCTTCTTTAAGGACACAGGCGGCTTAGCCAACAATGTTATTGTTCCCATTCTGTGACCGGTCAATACTGAGATACAGATGGTCTGTGTTGTGGGTACACTGGGACACTTCCTTCTCTGTATTTGTGGACTCCAAGGTAAAATCTTCCAGGTCATAAGTGTCCGAGGCAAGTAGCTCTGTGTTCCCACACTGTTTAGGCTATCTCCTCAAATATGTTGTTTACTCTCTGCGAAACCAGTTAGATGGGCTGGCAAGAGAGAGGCTCTCCAGAATTGACGTGGCAACTCTACCGTGGAGTCAGAACCTCTGACTCTTGGATTTGTGATGTGAATACTCTGGTACCAACTCCAAATAAATCACAGTGGTTTGACATCAAAGCTCCGACTCTTCCCGTGTCTCCTTCCTGAGTCGGTGACTCCACTGCATGCTACACAGAAGTTTCCTCTACATACAGTAGCCTTCATTTCAACATTGTAAATAGATGGGGTGGATGTGAAACTTCCAATTTATTTACTGATGCCTTCATTTGTTCTGCAATATAACATTTTCTGTCATTTCAGTATGAATCTATAGACGCCTGATATTTTGTTAGATATAATACAGGCAGACCCTTTTGTCATTTAGAAACAGGAGCTAAACTGATAGAGAATACACTTCTTATAAACTCTCAAAGAGGTTTTTCCCCTAAGGGATCTCTGAATGTGATTTCTTCATTATAAAGTTCACAGAATGTGGAACATTTTTACCATTTTCAGAGAACCTTTAGGGAGCGTTACCTGAATGTGTGGTAAACTATTTGATAATGTTGTGCGGCAAGAATAATTAGAATGACATTAAGACAAATACAAATATATACAAATGAAAATATGAATGAACAGATGAAGTTCGATGAACTTTAACAAACTCAGCCTTCATCTCTTCAGCAGCTGCAGTGTTATTTCCCGCCACTAGATGCCATTCCAGTTTGCTGCTTGATGACGTCACATTTGTCGAATTCAAAAGCCCTATGAGCGAGACTGTTTCTCGCCGGGTGCGGTGGCGCGCGCCTGTAATCCAAGTTACTGGGAGGCTGAGGCTGGCTGAAGCGTTTGAGCTCAGGAGATCTGAGCTGCAGCGGACTATGCCGATCGGGTGTCCGCACTAAGTTCGGTATCGATATGGTGCTCCTCGGGGGAGCTCGGGACCACCAGGTCGTCTAAGGAGGGGTGCATCGGCCAAGGCCGGAGACGGAGCAGGCCAAAGCCCCCGTGCCGCTCAGTAGTGGGATAGCGCCTGTGAATAGACGCTGTAGAGCAGCCTGTGCAATACAGCGGGACCCAGTCTTTTTAACTCAAAAATAAAATACTACAACAACACCGACACTCAAACATTATATTTTTCCACCACACAGCAGCTTCATCACTGCCTTTTTTAATCTTCTTATTCTCATGAAAAACCCTCAAGAAGCAGCTGAACTGCGTGTCCTACACTGCCTCCACCTGGAGGAAACCTGAAACTACATCAACAACACTGATAGTCTTATAGTAAAACTGTACATTCAAAAATGCTGCAGCAGGACATACTTGTTGGTGGTTTATTATACTGAAGTGTGGCACTGTAAAAACTATAGTCTTTGTTAGTTAATATGTAAAGTGTTTACACAATATGTGTTTACACATTTCTCATCTGATTGTCTTCATCTTGTTCTTTATCGGGGCTTCAGTTCTCTGTAATCTGTGTGTACAATGTGCCAACTCAGTGGCTCTATTAGAAAAGGTGCTTTGGTGAAGTGGCTAATGTGATCACAATTGCTCGGGTGAACAAAGTTCATGCAGAGCAGGAAACTAATGAACATATCCCGCTGTTTTAAAAAACGTCATTCCAGTTTTGTATTGCTTTTAGCGTCTGTTAAGCTGCATTAAAATGTGTTTCGAAGCCTCTACGTGTAAATCCCTTCCAACCTATCGACAGCTTTACTATCACTGGTAGCAAGAACTGTAAAAAACAATGTTCCATAAATGTCTCGTTCGTCACTGCTGTGCTTCTTCTCTGCTCTTCGGTTGCATTTACAGAAAGGGGCTCAGGTCACCATTATTCATGTTTAGATTCTTTATTTCTGTCCATCACGTACACAAGAAGCTGCAAGCTCCTGGGTGTTAATAACTGTAGGTGCCAAATGAAAGTGCGTTTATCATCAGCATCACTTTTACAGAACATGTCATATTTCATGATGATTGTATCGACCTGATTAATTCCACTGCTTTTCCTTTTGATTTTAGTGGTCAGTAACAACTGTCATGATGCTAAAATAAACTCTTTAGGTGATCTTGTGGTTTTCATTTGTCTGTCAATGGTCCACTTTAGTCATTATGTATCATTCTTCATCAGCAGCATGAACGTTGCTCTGTGACATGTACTATGCCAAGAATCTTACTCAGTATAGCACCTTAGTAATGTTAACCCAACACTAGTCATTATTTATTGATGAACATAACAATTGATTAGTCTTATAACAAAATATCATCATGTATTGCATTTAAAACAATACAAGCAAGATATGAACTGTTTGGGACAGTACACATACAGTAGCCTTCATTTCAACATTGTAAATAGATGGGGTGGATGTGAAACTTTCAATTTCTTTACTGATGCCTTCATTTGTTCTGCAATATAACATTTTCTGTTCATTTCAGTATGAATCTATAGACGCCTGATATTATCTTAGATATAATACAGGCAGACACTTTTGTCATTTAGAAACAGGAGCTAAACTGATAGAGAATACACTTCTTATAAACTCTCAAAGAGGTTTTTTCCCTAAGGGATCTCTGAATGTGATTTCTTCATTATAAACTTCACAGAATGTGGAACATTTTGACCATTTTCAGAGAACCTTTAGGGAGGTTACCTGAATGTGTGGTAAACTATTTGATAATGTTGTGCTGCAAGAATAATTAGAATGACATTAAGACAAATACAAATATATACAAATGAAAATATGAATGAACAGATGAAGTTCGATGAACTTTAACAAACTCAGCTTTCATCTCTTTAGCAGCTGCAGTCTTATTTCCCGCCACTAGATGCCATTCCAGTTTGCTGCTTGATGACGTCACATTTGTCGAATTCAAAAGCCCTATGAGCGAGACTGTTTCTCGCCGGGTGCGGTGGCGCGCGCCTGTAATCCAAGTTACTGGGAGGCTGAGGCTGGCGAAGCGTTTGAGCTCAGGAGATCTGAGCTGCAGCGGACTATGCCGATCGGGTGTCCGCACTAAGTTCGGTATCGATATGGTGCTCCTGGGGGAGCTCGGGACCACCAGGTCGTCTAAGGAGGGGTGCATCGGCCAAGGCCGGAGACGGAGCAGGCCAAAGCCCCCGTGCCGCTCAGTAGTGGGATAGCGCCTGTGAATAGACGCTGTAGAGCAGCCTGTGCAATACAGCGGGACCCAGTCTTTTTAACTCAAAAATAAAATACTACAACAACACCACACTCAAACATTATATTTTTCCACCACACAGCAGCTTCATCACTGCCTTGTTATCCTCGTATTCTCATGAAAAACTCCTCAAGAAGCAGTTTATCAGCTACACTGCCTCGGCCTCCACCTGGAGGAAACCTGAAACTATCAACTAAATGTAACTCTTTGATAATGTACTGTAGGTGAACCACGACTCTTCAAAGAGCTTCCTGTTGAGCTACTCAGAAACATACTGGTAAACATCGGCAATTTGTCTCTATTCTTCGTTCTTAAGCTGATTCTATAATTTAGGTTAGGCTACATTTCACATCAACAAAACATTACAAAAAAAGTGTTCTTTCTCAATAGAACAATCTGTGGTTCAAGTTAGTATTTTCCTCAGTGTAACATATCCCCTAGTTGCAAAGCTTAAACATTTATTTATTTATTTTTCGTTTGTTTTGTTTTCACTACTCAGTTTGTCAACTCTGTTACGGATAAACTTGATGTCATTACAATCATTTGATTAAGTCCTGCACTTCAAGTAAAATC